GATTCATGATGTATTTCATGTATCGATGCTCAAGAAGTATGTACGGGATCCGTCACATATTCTTGAGAAACCACCGGTGGAGATCCGGGAGGACCTGCAATATGCTGTAGAACCAGTGAAGATAGTGGGCCAACAGGTGAAGAAACTTAGGAACAAGGAGATTCCTATGGTGAAGGTTCTGTGGAGGAGTGATCGAGTCGAAGAAGAAACCTGGGAGACCGAGGTCTCAATGAGGGAGCAATACCCGTTTCTTTTCGATTAGGCACGTTGATTTCGGGGACGAAATCCCAAATAAGGGGGGGTGAACTTGTAACACCGTCCCCAAGTATATTTACCTTTATGTAAATTATGTATTGAACCTTATGAAATGGTTAATGAATTTACAAGGTTGTAAATTTTTGTTAATTCTTGTGCGTGAATAGTAAATTTGCACGTGGGGCCCACACCGGGAGCGGGGACCACCCGATATTCCCGAGACCACATATTTTATTCATCTTGGTATAGATAATAGTTATATGGTGGTGGACATTCATTTTGGGCCATGAGGAAGGCATTGGGTTGACCGATTGGTCAAACGAGGCCCAATTACCAGTTTTGGGTAATTTATCGGGTAACAGTCCGAAATGAATTTCGGAGACTTCCAAATTAGAGTTGGGGGAGTACACTCATTATGAAGGCCCGTAATGATTGAAAACATACTATATATTTTATTTGACCCGATAAAATAAAGTATAGTTAAAACAGTCCGAGAAATACAACTTTCGGGACCGATTGTACACTTTTGGACAAAAAGGGTTGACCTCCCACATGAGTGGGGGCCAACCCACGAAATTAGACCACAAATTGTCAAGGGGATTCGTATGAATGAGGATGGGAAGTTAGTAGGAGGGGGGGGGTTTGAGTTGATAGGCATCAAGAGGAGACATGGGAGGGCCTATTCCCTCACCCTTATTGTAGAATAAGTCAAAAGAGGCAACTTCCTCTCACCCCATGTGATCACTTCGGCCAAGACACACCAAGAGGGAGAGAGTGAGCTGCAAAACACCCACCACCATCCCCAAAATCGAGCTCAAGCAAGAAGAGAAGCAAAAGAGATGCTTGGAGTGAAGGAAAGTGAAGAAAAGGGTGAAAGATTAAGGTAATGACCTTATAACAACCTTTCTCCTTCCATTTGATGCTCATATGACTTACATAGCATGTAAGGAACCCTTTTAATAGCTCTACATATCTATAAATGTAGAAATAAGGGTTGAGAAGTGATTCTATGTCCAAGAACGGACTTAGGAGCCAAAACGACCGGTTAGCCGGAAAATAACCTTTTAGAGGTTATTTGTATTAATTTGGGTTTTGTGATGATAAAACCTTGTTAGGAACTTATCAAAGGTGATTTAAAAGCCTTCACGAAGTTTAAAGGGTCGCCGGAGTTATCGCCGGAGTTCGTCAAAGTTCACCGGAGTTTGGCCGGAGTTCAACCGAGAAGGGTAGAACTTCATCACGCTCATTTGAGGTGAGTGGACGGCTTAATGTCTTATAACTCTTGGGTTAATTATGAGATTACCTAAGTAAATGTTATATGTGTTCATAATGATGTTTAAAAGATGCTTAAACATGTGACTATCCAAAGTGATTAGACTTATATGTATGACCCATTGATATCATAAATGAAGTATGATATGAAAATGTTTATAAAAACATATATGATGTTTTAAGGGATGAAAGGGTCATAAAATGCTTGGTTATAACTTAATACATGTTGGGATTAAGTTTGATGCAAATCGGGTTTGAAATGGCGAGTCAATGAAAATGTTGACTTGGTTGCCCAGGGGGTAACCGGCGCCGGTTATAGGCAAAACCGGCGCCGGTTATGGATCGGCATGGCCGGTTTTATTAAATTAATTAATAACCGGCGCCGGTTATGTCAAAACCGGCGCCGGTTTGGCACTGTTTTGCCTATATGTTGATGTTTAATGCATGAATTGCATGGATGATTATGCTTAGGCCTTAAGACTTGGTTTAGTCTTGATTATTGATTATGATATAGACCTTATCTAGGATGATATGTGGTAGATCATAAGTCGGGTGGAGTACCCAAGGATCGGGCGGTATCCTCAAAACTCGTTTATAGGGTGGAGTACCCAAGGATCGGGCGTGTATCCTCAAAACTCGGTTATAGGGTGGAGTACCCAAGGATCGGGCGGTATCCTCAAAACTCGGTTATAGGGGGGAGTACCCAAGGATCGGGCGGTTATCCTCAAAACTCGGTTATAGGGTGGAGTACCCAAGGATCGGGCGTGTATCCTCAAAACTCATAGATTATTATTTTGTAATTTGAGACCGGGCGGTGTCCTCATGTTAAGATGATTTGAACCAGGAGGAGTTCTATACACTCATAGGTATATGGGTGGGTTGGGGTTTAAGCCAAGGTTAAAGGCTATATTATTTCCCAAATAAACAATGACCTAAGGGTCGGGTATTTCCAAGTATATATATAATGATATCTATTTCATAACTTGGGGGAAAGAACTATATGTATATGTAACACCCTATGTTTGGGTCTTATACTTGAAACGTTAGTTATTCTACATTTAGCCTGCTACTCGCTCGGTACTTGTACTGACCCCTTCGGGGGGCCCACCATTTCAGGTTGAAGCTCAAGCTTGCATTCTCACCTTGCTCGGTGAAGTAATCTAAAGGGAGACGTGGTTCGTGCTTCCTTTACTGTTTTAAACTATAAACTATGCTCATGGATAATTTGTAATAAGTACATTTGTTTTGGGCCTGCGAGTCCACGTTTTGGCCATATGCGGCCCATGATGGAATATTGAATATTTCCGCGATTCATTCAATCCAAATATGTGATGTTGTTATGTATGTTTACTTACTGAGTATGGTATGAACAATGTTCATGGACGCCTTGTATGATTAAGTCACGTTGACTTGCGAGTGACGCCATTTAGTCATACGGCGGTTGTACACGCGCTCGGATGCGGTCTGGGGCGTGACATTATAAAAGTCAAAACTCTATGTTTGTATATTGGCCCGCGGGCCAACCCGCAACTCGTTGGATCAACCCACTTAAACCTGCAACCCACGTGGGTTGACCCGCGAAACACGCGAACTAAATTGGTCAGAAATTCACAATTCTAATCCACCATTAAATGGGTTTAAGCGGGTCGGCCTGCGGGTTTCGGCCTATTTTGACGGCTCTACACATGACAATAAATAACATCATTATTTATTTTTAGTAGAAATAATTACATATATATGACTAAAATGAAAACTATTTACAAAAATGTGATTAGTGACTAGAGTAGACGAGTAGTAATAATGAAATCAAAGTAACTTATGTTCAATTTTTAAGCTTAAGTTTCTATGACACTACATTGTAGTAACTAATAGTCATACTTTTGTAAATAAGTTTTATTTTACTAATATTTTTGTAAAAACCCATTTTTACCATTAGTCTATTATGGCTAAATAATATTGGGTTTAAACGTTGAATGTGGTAGATATACGGAAGCGTATACTGTACAACCGGCTGTACGGTACCATCCGTACAGCCGATGGCATTTTTGCAATTTTGATGAAAAACGCGGATTCTTTTGAATGAGCATTAACGCAATTTTTTTGAGCATCAAATCTGTTCTTTTGAGTATTAGGAGCCTAACGGTGAGCATCAGTGATGTCTGCTTCATACCTTATACATCACTTTCTCTTTATTATTTTTCGTTTATTAAAAAGTCTTAAGTTATGTCTATAATCAATTTCAATTACTTTTAATATGTGAATCTAATGTAGTATTATATGTTTGAAATGTTCAACCTTTTAAAATGAGCATAAAGCGGTACCACATGAGCACACATAACTTACAAAATGAGTATAAAAAAATCAAAAGGCGCATTTGTGTGATTCATTTGAACGTTATACTCATGTGAATTTAACATAAAACTCATTTCTAATGTAGTATGATATGTTTGAAATGTGCAACCTTTTAAAATGAGCATAATGCTATTCCAAATGAGCATACATAACTTACAAAATGAGTATTAAAAAATTCAAAAGCTCATTTGTGTATGCTCATTCATTTTGGGCACGACACTCATTTGAGTTTAACATACAAACTCGGTTCTTACGTGTCCAATATTCATCTGTGTATATTCATTCCTTTTAGACATTATACTCATTTGCCTTTAATATTAAACTCATTTCGATACAGACAGATCCACAAAGAGCTTTCAACTCCTTTCCCTTTTTCCTTCTATAAGCCAGCCCAGAAACAGGGGGTGGGAAGAATTGAATCTCAGGTCAAAAGCGAAATCCATGTTTCGCTGCGCAATGAGTTTTTACCATTTTTGGTCCCTTGACTATTATGTTATTGACACTTTTGGTACTCGACTTTGGTTTTTCCACGTTTAGTCCTCAACTATTGTGTTAAAAACACTTTTAGTACCCATCTTTGAAAACTTAATTTCATATTTAGTCCTTCGACTTTCATAAAATTGACACTTTTGGTCCTTGAATTATTATATTAGTGACATTTTTAGTCCTTCACTTATTGTGTCAAAAACATAGTGGAAGGACTAAAAGTGTCAATTTGATCATACTCAGAGGACTAAATGTGAGAAACTTTTAAGTTGAGGACTAATAGTGTCTCTAGCACAATAGTCGAGGACTAAGAATGGAAAAATTAAAAGTCGAGTATCAAATGTGTCACTTACACAATAGTCGGGGGACCAAAAATGGAATAAACTCGCTGCGCAATCGATCGGAGTATGTGGCGGTTTGGGCTGCTTCGCGAGTTGGAGACCTGGGAAGTCGACGTTCCGTCTTCATCAATGACCTTCTTCTTCTTCTTCTTCTTAGCAGATGAGTTGTAGTGCGCAGATTAATTACAAAAAAAACACCGGCTGTACCGTGGACACGGTAGAGCCGGGTGTACCATGGAATTTACTGTAGATATATAGCATGACCTGGCCCTATAGCCCAACCCGAATCAACCCACAAATTTGATGATCTAATTAAGCGATGGAATAGTTTGAAAAAATGGGCATGATACCATCCTTCTCCACCCGGCAACATCTTCGTCCATATACGCAAGGAAGGAAGAAATACTACCAGCAAGAAGGAAGAGGAGGGGACTTGTTCAATCCCCCAAAATCCTTGAAAGAAATAGCACAACATCATACGGAGTAACACTTTTCAACAACATCAATCAATATCGTCAAAAGAGAAGAATTGCACATAATATATAGCAGCAGCAACTGATGGCCTTGCAGTGGGTAATTCTAGCGTACATCGTCGCAGCTGAGGCTGCCGTCGCTATCGTCCTGACCCTCCCGTCACCGAAGCCTCTCCGATCGCGGATCGTCTCTCTCGTATCTCTAACCCTTCAGCCTTTACTCTTTATCGTCCCCTTCGCCGCTTTCCAGCTCCTAGGCAATGCATCCTTGTTTCTGTTCTCATGATCTCATCAATTTTTCGCCACCCAGTGTCTCCAATTTCCGTTCTCTTTGCTTATTTCGAGCTTTCGTTTTTGTTTTGTCAGATATCTATTGGAAGAATGAGCATCGTTTGATGTGCACCGGTGAGGTCTGTACTGCAGCTGAGAGAGATCGCTATGAGAAATCGGTAAGCTTTGCCCCTGCCCCTACAAATCAATTACTTACCCTGAGTTTCAATTATTCTCACTCTGCCCTTCACATCAATATTCACCAGTTTCATATAATTTTCAAATGTAATTAAGGCTGTCTATAAATCTGTAATTATGCATTGCTTATAATTATATATTCAAAGTGGAAAACAACCCATTCTCATTATTATAAGCCATAGTTGTGGATCATTTTCCCTTCTTAGCTACTCATGAAGAAATGTTATTGAAAGTAACTGAGGACAAGGAATACTCTTTACTTACATTAGAAAGGAATGTTTAAAACATGGGGCTCTTAAAATTCTTAGAACTTCCTCTTCATCAATAAGTCATGACTGCTATTCATGATTCATTCGCCTCAGCTAATCTTGCTTAAATTTCTTCAGCAAATAGCAATGAAGAAGAAATAACGAGCATTAATCATGATGATGGATCACTTTGACCCTTAATTGCTATATTTTAGACAACTTTCATTAAATTTGATAATTATTTGAAATTAAATGAGATAAATGTGTATGGGTGGGGTGAACAGTGAGAAAGAAAAACTCAAGGAGTAGTTAATTGACTTTTGAAAATGCAAGGTTAAACTAGTAATCATAATCTGACCTCAGGGGTAAATGGGAAATAGCAATTTTCCTAATAATAAATTATTGTCTAGCATTCATAAGCAACCTGAACAAATCCCGGATGAACGGATTGATTTGGTAAAACTGCTGCTTTATTATAGGACCACACATATGTGAAGATTGGGTTGTTCTGATGAGCCACCATCTTAGAGCCCATATACCACATATACATACCCAAAATAGTTACTCTAAGGCAAGGATTTAGTTAAGGAAAAATTGACAAGAATAATCCCACCTTTCACTGGTCTTCTCATGATAATCCCATCTTTACGTAATCCAAGAATAATCCCACCTTTGCACCTCATTTTCTTTCATTGGACCCCGACCTATTGATGATCTACAAAGGTGGGATTATTTATATAAGATTTTAAAGGAAAGGGTCCAATGAAAGAAGATGGGGTGCAAATGTGGGATTATTCTGGAATTACGTAAATGTGAGATTATTATGAGAAGACTAGTGAAAGGTGGGATTATTCTTATCAATTTTTCCTTTATTTAATTGCTTACATTATACATTTCCTTTTCATCTGAATCAAAGATGCATTACTATTTTTCTAAAAGTACAAATATCTGTTGTTATACACGACATCTCTTTTTAATTGCTTTGGTGTTATCTCTGGTGGGAGCTCCTCTTTCCTTTATGAACAATTAAACATCGGTTTACCGTCTACTTTAGTAATTAAATAATTTCTAATCTTCACTTTGGGGTTGAATTGGTTGTGAAGTATGTAAATCAAAACAAGCAGCAAGTTATAAATTATTACTGAGTAGTTTCTTCTTAGTTTGTGGTAAAAATATGATTTCTTAATTAAGAAAACTAATAGAAAGAACAATAGCGGTTACATTTATAAAAGGTGATTGGAAGCATATTATGGAGAATTATTTATTTGACTATATATAATATGCATATATATAATTCCTTAAGTAGTTGATACAAGCAGATTTCATAAAAAAAGCAGATTCTATTGATGATGGTAATAATACTAATAATACGTAGTCTATGAAATGAAGGCATTTTGACACACTTTCTGAGGTCTCTCTGTTTGATGAATTGGTTTTTTCAGATATACAAGGCTCAAAGGAATAGCATCCTTTGTGTGGCAGGATGCCTTCTCTACTGGTAAAATGCTCTCATGTTTTTTTGGATATTAATTTTGAAAGTACAAATATCTGCTTACTTTAATGACATCCTTTGTGTGGCTACTTCATGCTTTCCTTTTGGTATATAACACATTAGCTTTTTATGTGGTTTTATTAGGTGCATCTACAGAATCTGCAAGTACCACAAGGACATCCAAAGAATGGAGGACACGGAAAAGAGAAACAAGGCCCACTAACCCCACTCTGCCTTAGCCCTCACCAGATCTTCTGCTTTATTGACTTATCCCTGAGATTACATTTTATGTCTTAAAATTGCAGTATGTTTGTCATGACGACATGTTTCTGTTGTTATCTTTTCTACTATTATTATTATTAATTATTACTAAGACTACAAGTCTCTACACTTATACACCAAGGCTCCAACTGCAATCATGAGTATGCCATTTGGTAAACAGGAATTACTAATGTCTGCATCACAAGCTTGTAATATGCTGTATTATATTCGGGAAAAGGTACAAATAGATATTCCTTAAGTATGGTCTCACTGTCTCAGGTGCACATTGATTAATGCATTCATATTACATCTAGTGTTTAGTGGGATTCAAATTAGTCTTTTCACAGTTTTTTATGAGCTGATAGGAATATTTTACCAATTTCACTTGATTGTATGTTAGGACTTAGGGATGTGTCATGTGTTAATGGTGTTTAAGGATGTTTTTTTGGACTGTTTACAGTCCCAGACCAAACCAGACTTCCGTACTTATAAAATACACAGAGACCAGACACTTATCAAACCAGATCAAACCACACTAGCAAATTTTAGTCCAAAAGAAAAAATAAGTGTATCCGTTGGAAAACTGTACACATAAGGGCCTCCTCGTGTGCTACTTATCTGCGTTCAAATATTATGCTTTAAGATTTATAGTTTAAGATTTGTGACAAGCAGTGTGTAAGACTGAGAGGGATATGTTAGGGCCTTAGGGGGTTTCTACAATTGGAATATTGGTGCGCTCAGCAATTTGTATGTCTTGTGTAGTTCAGATATCGTATTTTACATTGTACCAAAAGTAACTTGTCATGGATTGTAGACAGAAAAAGGTGTGTTTGGATCTATTTTTCAAAACTGTTTTCACTTCATGAGAGACAGAGAGAGCATAGGAATATTTCAATGCTTCAAATTGCTTTTAGAAGCAATTTGTTTTAGAAATTAAGGGAAATTTAGCTTGTGAAAAACTAATATTGATTCTACTTCTACTTTTAAGAACGTCAGTGTGGTTGATGTTTGCTTACAAATCATAAACACATGGGTTTTCATATACTCCATCCGCCCTTTATAATTTTGTCTTTTTTCCTTTTTTCGGTTGTATTGTCCCAAAAGTTTTGTCACTTTCTCCTTTACTCAATGAATTTGTGATTCATATTATTTCTCTTTACTGCGCACAAACTTCAACCACAATGTTTTCACATTATTATTTTCCGTGACGGTCAAACATTATAAAGTTTAAAGGGACAGAGAGAATAAAATTTTCCTTTTAATGAATATATTTCTTAAAAAAGTTGATTGCTTAACAGTAATATATGCTGTTAATAAAATATGTAAGTTTGAAATTTTACTTCTTAAAAAAGATGAAGCTTATATATTCTCTAATATCTCTTCATTCTGCTAAGATTGTCTCATTTTGTCTTTTCACTTCATACCAAATTAGATATATTTGTTTGTTTTAGATCATTTTTACTTTATTCTTACTTTATGAATTCAATATCAACTACATAAATCCATTTTTCTTAATGAGTAATGCTCAGGTCCAGCCGGAGGGACGAGAGGTACCGTCCGATATTTGATTATGATCTTCTATTATGATATTTGATTATGATCTTCTATTATCATATTTTACTATAATTTTTTGATTTTGATCTTATACTATGATATTTTACTATAATTTTTTTTTTCTATTCCAATATATGGAATTCAAAATAGGTTTTATTTTTCAATTGAGGAAACCTTAGAACAAGAAGTCGTAGGAGTGCTTACCATAAAAAGAAAATTTACAAAACATTCTTCCATAAAGGCCCGATGTCATTATGTTAATAAAAATGGCTTGCCTGTATGTTAACGAATTGGTCCACCACAGAAACAAGACTTCAGAAGTTTAGGGGCTTGAGAATGGAACAAAAAAAGAGGGGGTTCCATTATCTTCCAAAAAGAGATGCAACTGTGCTCAAAAGACAATTAGCGCGTTTCGAAACATATCTAGGTGGAATTCGATATATGACAGGCTTACCCGATATTGTAGCTTTGCGAGAATGTATAACTTTAGAAATTCGATGAAACTTTTTGAGCATGTTCCTCATCAAGTCTAGTTTGTCCATACCAAATTTAAGCTAAAAGTTCGATCGGGAAGGCATTCAAATCATTTTTTGAAGTTGACTGTGCCAAAATATACATATAAAAATGCAGTCAACTTCAGAAAATGATTTCAATGCCTTCCCGATCGAATTTTGAGCTGAAATTTGATATGGACAAACTAGACTTGATGAGGAACATGCTAAAAAAATTTATAAAAACATTCTACCGGGAACCACCCCAAACGGCGGAATTCGGACGGCGGTTCGGATTTGAGGGACTGGACAGGATCTTTTATGTTTCTTAATAATCGCATGACCTATTCATGTCTCAATGTTAGCGGGACGAAAGTAATGTGAGATATTTATTGTTGATTGCTCAAAATAATTACTCACCATTCTCATTGACTAGTTTCGTTTATTTAAGTTATATTGTTATCTCTCTAGGGTTAACGGTCGATAACCCTACATCTTGGTTTGTGATGGTCCCGGATAGGGTAAAAGTCTAGAGGGGGGGGGGGGGGTGAATAGACTTTTAAATCTTTTTCATCTTTTTGAAGTTTTTCCCTCTAGATGAATTGATCTATAATCTTTTGAGAGATTAATAAATGCACAGCGGAAGTCTTTACCCTTTATGATTATCAGTATGAAACAATCTTTCTAGTTCTGGTGATGTTTGGACTTTAAACCGTGAGCAGTTGGCTTGGCAGTTGCCTGTTGGGCAGATCACTGCTGAGGCAACTGCTGGGTTGGCAGTTGGCTGGAGGGTAGGAGACTGCTGAGGCAACTGCTGAGAAACAGGATGACTCTTGGATGGCTTTTTGTTCTGGCTTGTTATGGAGATTGGAAAGACACGTATGGATGGGCAGTGGGCTCATCAGGAGGGTGAAGACCAGGGTACTGCTGAGCCACCTTCTGAGTTTAAGACAACTTCTAGTGGAAAACACTCTCAAGGAGAGTGAGTTATTAAGCAGTAGGCTTAAGCAGTAGAGTCGATGAAGACTACTGCTTAGGATGCTGCTGGCAAACTACAAACCCTTAGGGAGATGTGTTTGGTGTGTGCTCTGAATGTATGAAAGTAAATCAACACACCATGTATCCTGGTTCAGATGTGGTGTAATCCTCCTACATCCAGTCCCATTCTATTTCAAATGGATTTCCACTAAAGCATTCAGCCCAATACAATTAGTGCCAATCTAGCCTTGACAACTCTGGCCTAGATTGAAGGTTTTTCACGATGAGTATAACACCACTCAAAGTTACTCAGTCCTTAGACTTTTCTCAAATGATCCAGTGGGAATCAAAAGGTACTCTATCTATCTAACCACACTTTAGGATCCGAACAACGGTTCTCCTAAGTGTTTACAACCACTTGTAAAATACAAGGAATTTCTAACCTCCAACTATGAACTAAGCTCTAGAAATATGAAAGTGTTGATCTAGTCTAAGAGCTTAGTGAAGCATGAGGCTAAGCAGAGAGTAAAGTTGAGTTTGCACTTTCTCTTTTGCTAGATAACTCGTATATGCTTTGATGAAAGTATTTCTCTACTTAGGATGCTCAAGCTTAGTGAAGCATGAGTCAAAGCAGAGTATTCTAGCACTTTCCTTTTAGCTGGATATTCGTAGTGTAATAATAGAATCTCTTGCTTTGAACTCAATGACTTGATTATTTAACTCATGCTTCTGCCTTTACTTATAGGCATCTCTGTTTGATTAATATCATCCTGTTGAGGTTTATTCCTTCAACCCTTGGACCCAACACGTAAGCCCAAAGATTTCGAGGGGAGTGAGTGTGTGGATATCTAGCCCAACAACTTCCAGATGGATCAGGAAACAAGAGAAATAGCAGGCAATGTAAGTAGGTATTATTAACTTCGTAATGACTCCCCTAAGTACAATCTACCCGCTAAAAAGGGCACGTCGGCCGTTCGTCTTACAAGGCACTTAGAAATGCTGCCAGTAAGAATGCTGAAGCTAGTATGCTAAGAATAGAAAGTTGCCAACCCCTTACAATGAAATAAATGCTACTATTTATACCCGCCAATGGGGCAGTTAGTCCTGATGATGTGGAGGATTGTTAGTGGCTGTGGCCCAACCACCAAATCTCCAGCATTAAATGCGCTTCCCGCCAGAATCTGGGTTCCCCGCCTAATTAATGACCACGATCGTCTGGTAGAAACGGGGGCCGTTCGTCTGCGGCCCTTCCTGAGAGCGTAACAATCTTTTGGGCCTGGGCCATCTACGGAGATGGGCCTCGGCTGACGACGTTCGTCACGGATGTGCTAACCGACCCTCGGCCAGGACCTTGTGCTGTTATCCCGGAGATAGACATTCGTCCTCATTCCTTCAGGCCAGGGCCATCCGTGGGCTGGGCGACGTACGTCGGTTTGGGGGTAATTGGGCCGGACCCCTGCTCGGGGCCATTTACCCAACACAAGTCCCCCACTTCTGATGTTCCAAGCGTGCGTGGGACATAAGGAAGTATGCTGTGCCTCCTGGAGAATGCCCATGGGGAACTGGACGTACCTGATCGAAGGGCACCTCGAGTTGGGCGACCGCGGGTGAATCGAGGTGGCGGCTGGCGGCGAAACGGTGCGACTCCCGATGGGAAGTCATCATTACGCGTATCGCTTCCCCAGGTTGGATTCCCGCCAGGGTACGCTCCTCGCCACGTGTCGCTTCTTCATTCGTCCCCCCGGGGGTGCCTCCATTATAAATACCAGAAATCCCCTGATGTCTAGGGTTTCCGATTTCTGGCTTTTGCTTTCGAGTTCTCTTGCCGCTCTTCGGGTTTCCCATCACAGCTTCCCAAGTCCGTCTTCAAGTTTTTTAAGGTAATTATTCCTCTTCATCCTCGTCCTTTCTTTTAGTGATGACTTCGATGGAGATCTCTTCAAGTTCGAGTTCTGGTTCTTCGGGCTCCGACTCTGATTCTTCCTCCAATTCTGGCTCCCGTTCCTCCGGGAAAACCAGCATTTCCGGCAACCCAGGTTCGGCGTCCACCGTAGGGACTATCCACGTCGACAGTGAGCAAGGCGCCGACATTTCCGAAGGTGCCATTGAGGCAGTGCCTCTGAATGAACGTGCGGCCGGGTATGATTCCGCGGATGAGGCTCAATCTGGCTCTGATCTGGAGGTGCACGATTTGGGTATCCCCATGGACGTGCAGAGGCACATCTGCAAGATTAAGAGTGTTTTAGAGCACAGGCAATCCCTCTCTAGCGTCGCCATGAACAAGATTGCTTCCTTCTTCCCCC